ACAAGGAGAGCCCTGAACAAGGGCGGGTTACTTTTTTTGGTGCGGGGCTGTGTGTGGGGAACAGGCTTGTACATGTTTCCCCTGTTACCAGTTTGCAGTGTGGAGTGGAAAGTGTAGAGTGTGGAGTGTGAAGTGTATAATAAGGAGTGTGGAGTGTAAAGTGTGGAGTGGGGAGTGTGTAAAGTGTAGAGTGTGGAGTGGAAAATGTGGACTGTGGAGTGTAGAGTGTGGAGTGAGGAGTGTAAAGTGTGGAGTGAGGAGTGTGCAGTGTAAAGTGTAAAGTGTAAAGTGTAGAGTGTAGAGTGTAAAGTGTGGAGTGTAAAGTGTAGAGTGTAGAGCGTGGAGTGTAAAGTGGGGAGTTTGGAGTGTGGAGTTTAAAGTGCGGAGTGAGGAGTGTCAAATGTGTTCCAAGTGTAGACTGTGGTGGAGTGTGTTGTGTGTGGAGTGTGTGGAGTGTGGAGTGTGGAGCGTGGGGTGTAAAGTAAGGAGCGTGGAGTGTAAAGTGTGGAGTGTGCAGTGGGTAAAGTGTAGAGTGTAGAGTGTAGAGTGTGGAGTATTAAGTGTGAAGTGTGAAGTGTAGAGTGCGGAGTGACGTGTGTAGAATGTGGAGTGTGAGTGTGGAGAGTGTCAAGTCTAGAGTGTAAACTGTAGAGTGTAAAGTGGGAGTGTAAAGTGTAGAGTGTGGAGTGTGGTGTGTAAAGTGTAAAGTGTAAAGTGTGGAGTAAGGAGTGTGCAGTGTAGAGTGTAAAGTGTGGAGTGTAAAGTGTAGAGTGTAGAGCGTGGAGTGTAAAGAGGGGAGTTTGGAGTGTGGAGTTTAAAGTGTGGATTGAGGAGTGTCACATGTAAAGTGTGGAGTGTGCAGCGGGTAAAGTGTAGAGTGTAGAGTGTGGAGTATTAAGTGTCAAGTGTAGATTGGGGAGTGACGTGTGTAGATTGTGGAGTGTAGGTGTGGAGAGTGTCAAGTGTAGAGTGTGTAAAATGTAGAGTGTGGAGTGTAGAGTGTAAAGTGTCCAGTGCTGGGTCGCCGGAAAACTGCAAAAGCTTCCGGCAAGGGCGCCGCGGAGCATTTGAGGCCAGGCTAGTGCCTCACGTTGCTTTCTGAAGCCACTAGAAAACCTCTTGGAAAGCGCCCGGCAGGTGGCCAAAGTATGGCGCTGTGGGAAGGGTTTAAAGCCGGGCTACGCCACGCTACTAGGTCTTAACGACCCTTAACGGCCCTCAACTCTGACGCGCTCCCCCTGCCTGAGTTGCCTGGGGTCGGCGGATATTACCTACATGTACGATTATATATACATGTGTCTATATGTATATATACGTATATGAGATGATCTTCATCCATGAGCTGCGAATCCTGTGCTCAATCAACCACTACAATCGCCACCTAGATAAAATGTAAGAGTCACTGTTCTACAGTTTTGTTGTACTTCGTCTACTATTTCTTATCGGTCGTCTACTTTAAGGATAAATGTGCGTGTCTGAAAATAAGTATGCCACCCAAATGGCAATTTAAAATAATTACTCCAACTCTAATGTTTAAAAATTGATTTAAGGTGTCCTATACTCAAACAATCTGAAATCCTTTGTTTCTCCTTAATGAGAAAGATACGTCCGGTCAGGCCACAGATGCCAATACAGTCAGTCCTCTGCACGTATCTGAAGGTTGAACGTTTTAGGTGCCAAATCATACAAACCCGTTTTTTTTAAGTTCTGGCAACGTTTCTCAGAGCGCACAAACATGTTGTTTGCCCTACATACCTTTTTGTACAGGTGCGGACTACCCTGCTTTGTGCTAGATGGTCACTGTGTATCGGATGTGTAGAAGGTCCACCCCAAATTTGCCGTCTTTTGATTCGGAATCCAAAAGATTTGAGCCTTGCCCTTCCAGGTGCAGTCCCAGGCCATCTGACTGGGGTGGGTGCGCAAAATTATTTCGTGAAAGCGGTCGGTTTTTTTCCATTTTTTTTTTGGAGAACCAATGGTCTTGGGGTATCTACAGCTGAAACTGGATCTCCCGACATCTCGCAGTGCCGTAAATCTTCCTGCGACCGATGGCGATCGAGATTGTAAGTAAGACTTGGTTTCCACACCCCAAATTCACATGCCTTGGGGTTTAACTCTGATAAGGACAATTTTAATGTGTAATCGACTCAGACCAATACCGTCATTGACTGAGCTGGGTTTCTAATAATTTGCTGCAAAAATCGGGGATCGTCCCCTACATTGGATGATTTTGTGCGCCGCTGTTTTGGGAAACCCGCAAATGCGATCTGGCAGGTTTCCCCACTTGTAATTGTGATTTGTGGGCGATTCTAGCATCCATACCGTGGATGAGTGAAGTTGTTTCTTATTTGAAATATTTTGAGATTATCCCAACACTTTCTATAGGCTCCATTTGAGCCACCCATGGAGGGAGGATTCCACTAATTAATCTGATTACACCAGCTGTTTGCGTAAGTTTGCAATCTTGTATATTCCACATCTTAAGTGGTTCATCCAATCCATTTCATTTTAAGTATCTCTGTGCCTGTAAGAGGTGTGATGTGAAAGCCTTTGATTGTACAATATGGCTGAACTTGGCGGGTGTTGTTTTTTTCATTGGTTGGTGCACTAGAAAAGACGCATAAGGTAAGAGAAGATAGGAACCCAGATGTTTACATACGCGACCTTTTTCGAGGCTCCACCATCCTGGATGATCCCTGTTGCTTGGACCTGGCTACAGTGGGATGGCTTTACCCGAGAAACGAATGCAAAAGAACAGTGGACGAATGGGTGATTTGCACATTGTTTTTCGGGGCCAGATAAAGCGCAAGACTCATGGGATATTGCATTAAACTGACTAGGATGGGATTCCGATGTTTCTCAAACGCATACCATGGGGAATTCATCGGATCTTGCAGTGCCATGTCTGTGCACGCAGGCACACATTTTCATAGGTTGATGGTGGCCTCTGCCTGACTGGAGAACAGATCTTTGTCATTTTTACCATCACGATGGCCAAGAAAATGTAGCACCGGTGGTTCCGCCCCACAAACCATCATGCTGATAAGATGGCCCTGTTTTCAGAATTATTCAGCACCGTCAGCCCGTATGGAAATCGTTGGTGGAAGAACCTGCAAACATTTTGAGATGTACACCGGATTGTGTAGTGAATCGCATCATGCGTTGTTTGGCGTGCCTGGTTCTTCCAATATAGGCACAGAAATTGACAATCTACTGCAAACTTGTTGGTACTGTGAGCAACGTTCTTTGGTGTCTTATCCTGATATTTCTGATCGAATGTGTGTAGATGCAGCCTCTGAATCCCACATAGTCCATGGTTTTGAATATTTCCCAGAATTTGCCAATCAATTCCTTTCTTTGCCTCTTTGCCCAGGGCAAAGATTTCTGCCCATTCGACAAGAACAAGAAACCATGGCCTCGTCATTCCTACATCCCCCCAAGTGACGTCAGGGCCTGATTTTTCAGTGCCTGGCACATGTAGAACCTACGGGGTGCATCCCAGATAGTACTTGCATAACCAGTACATGATAACCAGATCATACCCCAGTTATGTGGGTTCTTCACCGCAAAGAACTGTCTGGGATGCACATCCTACCGCTGCCTGATTCATATCCGGATATCGAGTTGGCTTCGGGTTTTCCATGATCTGAGGAGCCGATCCTGGGTCGTGAGGCACGGTTTAACCGACCATATGGGGACTTAGTCGTCAAAATTATGAATGAGCCGACTGGTGATACCAGGGAACGTTTTTAAATGTGTTTACCATCAAATGCAGGGATTTGTGCCAAGTCATCAGAGCCTTCTGACAAATGGGCCATGTTAGTGTGTGGGACTTGAAGGTCAAAACGTCGACACACCAGAGAGTTGCACAGCTTGCTGCTTGCCTCCTGGGGTTTTGTTTCTTCATGTTCCCACACGTTCCCACTTTTGTAGGTGCGTCTAAAGCCAAAGCTTCCAGAGCCATCCAGAGCCCAAATTTCTTTTGGATTAGCTCCGAACTGTCGGTGGCTCTAAATATAGATTCGATTTTTGATGAAGTTGACCTTCCATTTTGGATGAAGTTAAGGTAAGTTGAGTTTTCATTTTGTAGTCGAATCCCAGTTTGTTGTTGAAGTTCACTGCCCCAGTTTTGGATGTTTTACTTTTTGAATCCCAATCTTTTGACGCTTAAATCCACATTTTCTGATGAAATTGACTCCCCATTTTTGCAATGTGTATGTACGGTCCAATCTGCATTCTTTCCATGCTTACATTCCAAATGTCAGTTCACCCCAACTAACAGCTCGACGCACTGAATCAGCCATTGTTGGAAGTCTTCACCGGACTTCTGGCAGGGTCGTCACGCTAGTTGTGAGATGGGAAGTCCCAATCTATTCCTATTATATTTCATGTTTTTCTCATCATTGTTTCCCCGTGATTGGTCTTGTTTCAAGCCCCCACCTGTCTGCAGTTGGCTGGCCGAGAGAAGTACGGACACCTAGACCTTGGCTGTTGGATGAATGATCCCCAGTGTTTAAAAGAAATAGACGTGTAAATTTTGTAAATGGTATTACACGTCCATTCGGCATGTGATGTGAGTCAAATTGTACATCCACTACCAATAATAGTGTGATGAATTCCTTTTACTGTAGTCGTTTTCACAAACTAAAAAACAAAATCGAAGGAAAACAACTCTGGTCTTCGGGGTCCAGTCCATTCCCAACTATTTTTTGCACCAAAAATCCCTGAGGATCAAAAGATGATGCTATTCTGTTTTCTTCACTACTTAGGAGTTAAAAGGCGGTAAGTGCATCAAATTCCCATACTTCACGGAACATGTCTTTTCCCAATAAACTGGGAGTTAGGAGGCACTAACAAGAATCCCAAAGTTTTTAATCTATCCATAAGATTTGGTTCTGCGACGTCGCCACGCCGCCCGACAGTGAGGGAGGCATGGGGATATTAATGGGGATGCTTGGAAAGTATAGTATAGATTTATTTCCCAGCAATCCGATTGGACCATGAGTGAACCATGGTTCCTACCCATCCAGTCAGCGGGACTGGCCGCTCAGCCCAGGCCACTGCGCGCCATCCGGAGTAGCAGCTGGGTGAAAGCTTATGGAACTGCTTAGCTGAGCGATCTTTGCTCAGCTTTCTTGAGTGGTATCCAAAAAAAGGAAAAGGGTCACAATATGTTAAGAACATGTGGTGATTGAGCTGGAGATTTGCAAAATCGTGGATGGGAAATGATCTAAGACTTGGGTGGCAAAGCATCCAAGATCTGGTTAGTGGCCAGTTTTTGCCATACCCAAGTTGGGGATCGGTTTGGGTCAAAACATGACCATGTGGGTCCATTGGTGCGCCCCCATTCTTTTCGACCCAGCCCTCTGCTGATCAAACATGGCTTGCTGGAAAATCCCCACTTGGTTCGAGAATTTTCCAGGCTACAAACTTCCATTTGCAAGGGTGTCCCATTAAAACCGCCACTTTTAGTTCGGATTTCCCAGCCAGCCATGTTTGATGACACCGAAAGATATTCAGCTCTGGCTCAACCAAGGTACCCTGGACCTTCGATCCGCCACAGCAGAAGCGGAAGATGCAGGGGTGGATGAAGATGAAACCATGGAAGCAAGGCGCTGTCTTTTGGGAACTCCGTTTTTTTTAAGGCAACCACAAGGACAAGTATAGAACCCCACAAAAATATACACAGGATTACACAAGTAAAATCCGACAATAGTGGTAGCAATCATTTTTCTATCGGTTTTAGGGTTGCTACAAACTAGAAATGTAAAATGCAATGGGAACCAACTCTGGCATTCAGGGTCCAATTGACCCTGGACCGTGCCAGGCAGATTCTGGACATCGAGGAAGGGAAGAAGGAAGCACGGAAGGGCCTGGAGACACCTGTCCAGAGCCGAAGCGTGCGGATGTTGGAAGACGCTTTGGAGGAGGCTGGAGTTGCTGAAACATGCTGAAACACAGCTGGCAAATCCTTCAAAATTCGGCAAGAAGGAAGGCTTGAAGTGGTTGTGATGTGATAGTAAATCCTTTTGTTCTGAACATTTTGTATTTCAATCTAGGAGCATAAATTTTTGGGGACCCCCGGAATAAACTATGATGATTCCGCTGGCAGATCGTTCACTTCTGTCAGGCAGAGCATTGCGGCCTTACCCCCACTGAGACAGAGAAAGCAAGGCACCCGGGTGGAACCATGCAGAATAAAGGGGGAGGCCATTTGGAATGCACACCTGTACTTCACTGGAAAAATGCTGAAAAAGGAGCATTCACAAACCATGTCATGGCAATGTTACCACGGAAAAATGATGATCAAACATCAAACTTGGACACACGTTTCAGGCAAACTCACGTGTTTGTCAGATAGGTTGGCAATCGCAAGTCTTGTGTCGACCTCTGTCGCTGCTGTCGCGATGAAGTAAGATATGGTTTTGATCCAAGTCCAGACTCTCACAGCAGATAATGGTAACCACCAAAAATACACAAAATGAGTTTACCACTATTTCAATAGGATTTCACTTTTCTATCTTTTTGGTGAGTTTCTATTCTAAAACGCTAGCCCCAGATAAATAAACCCTGGTTTGATTCATTACTGCAGGGGTGGTTACTCCACATAGCGATAATTTGCTACCAAAATTGTACCTCCCGAATGATGAAACACCCAGTTGACCGATTGACATTATGTCCCTGTAATATCCCCACTTTCTACCATTTTACCACCATTTTGCTGATTAATGGGCCAGTCATGACTCGTCGCTGCAGGCGAATTCTTGCTGAGGAGCAACTGAAGGAGGCACCATGGTCATACATCCATTCGTACGAATTTTACTGGCCAATACGAGGATATCACAATGATGTTGGGATCGCCATACCCAGGCACGTTGAGATTTTTGAGAGTGCCAACCATCAAAAACATTAAAGTGTTTAGCATCAAAATGGAGATCTATCCATCCAATGTGGATGAAACACCATCAAACATGTGGATAAGCAATTCACGTTCCAGAAAGCTAACATAGATATGGAAAATCTACCATCTGTAGATGAGATCCCGGGGAAACAGGCAGGAGAAAGGTTTCATTGCGACACGCAGTGAGGCGCCGATTTCTTCTTTTGTGGCTGCCCCAGAACGCATCAAGTGGTTCAACAATGAAGGGGCGCAGTGTGGGCGATTTTACGAGGATGACTTGACTGAAAACCACCAACCCAACAGATTATCTCTGGCTCCATGACTCACGGTCATCCTCTGTCACTCTCATGGACGCTTCAACAATAGGAATGGGCTTAGATCCTTTGATATCAGATTTCCTTTCATGTTCCAGTCAATCTAATGGACTTGTTGATCTTGTTTATTGCAAGCGACATTCAATACCTAGGTTGCTTGAATTCCACAGTATTTCCATTGTACCCCATGATATCCAATATCCCGTTTTGGTTGGTTACATCCCCCGTGTCAGATCCGTTTCCGCTGAGATCTACTCCATCTTTGCCTGTTGCTGCAGCAGGCCACGATTAGACTATAAAATGACTCCGAGTCATCGTTGAGAATTTGGAGGAATGGTTTGTTATTAGGTTTACGACATATTTAGTCTATGTGTACATGGTATATATACGTATATATATATATTATATAAATGTTATCACATGTACAGTGTACATATCAGAAGCATGGCAGATATAGCTTTCCAACAACGTGCTGTTGCTGCACTTGGAATGAGTAACATCGGGAAATTGAGAATTTAACCTCTAAACTCTCGTGAATCTTGTTGTTCAATATCAATTTTCTGTGCATATGTTTGCATCTAGGGGTTTGCAGTTGTTTTCTCAATGTGTTTTTTTCCTAAAAATAAACCACTCTTTGGGTCAAAACCCTGGCCCCGAAATAGATTCAGTAGATGTCACTTTTTGCCAGTTCCTGCATTGACTTCGTTGTGCCGTATGTCTAGTGCTCCAAACCAATGAAACGAAGCAACATCAACGAGCAAATCAGTGCTTTTTTTCGATGATGCCGTGTAGTCCAGGGATGTCCAGGGATGATTGTATATTTTGAATTTGATTTCTGAATCCCTGATTTTGTTTATATTTTCATATGTTTTCATATGTTTTGATGACTTTTGTGACGCTGGTTTGTAGCATAGCCCCCGCAAGAGCCCCATTGCAGGCAGAAAGAAGCCCTTCTCACAAGGCCAGGTGCCTGAATGTGAGATGGAAAGCGCCGTGGCTTTTCCCATGTTCAATGGACAACAAAAAGGGGTATCCGTAATTCTATTTGTATATGTATCATAGATTAAATTCCATCAACCCACATTTATTTCATGGGCGGTTGACACCCCATGTTGCCAACAAAAGTTATCAACCGCGGAAACCACAAATTCATAATGACCAGCCAATTCCCGTTGGATGCATATGTCGGGTTATACGGTTATAACATGATTTATGGTTGGCGGGGATCAGTCTTGGAGTCTTGCTCACAATCCACAAACTGGCTCGAGACGTGAAGTCGGCCCTGTGTGGGCAACAATGGCTTCTGCAGGTGGATTTCACACAGTACTTCTTCGAAGTGATGGCTGTGCTGTAGCTTGCGGAAGAAATATTGAACGACAATGTGACATCCCACCTTTGGAGAAAGGAATATCATATGTGCAGGTTAGCGGCGGACAATATCATACAGTCCTTCTCCAGAGCGATGGGCATGTGGGTGTTTGTGGAAGCAATGACTATGGACAATGCAATGTTCCCGATTTGGACGAAGACACAACATATCTTCAAATTTCTGCAGGTGCTTATCATACTGTGCTTCTCCAAAGTGATGGCTCTGCGATAGCCTCCGGATTGAATGAAAACGGTCAATGCGACCCACCACCTTTGGAAGAAGGCATGTCATACACTCAAGTTTCGGCAGGTTGGTTACACACAGTGCTTCTCCGAAGTGACGGTCGTACTGTTGCTTGTGGAGGGAATGGTGGTGGACAATGCCACATTCCACAGTTGGATAACGGATTGCACTACACCCAGGTTTCAGCAGGTAGGCATCACACTGCGCTTCTGCGCAGCGATGTTGCTGTTGTGGCTTGCGGTTGCAATGATGAGGGTCAATGCAACATTCCACCACTGGATGAAGGAATTTCATATGTGCAGGTCTCAGCTGGCACTCATCATACTGCACTTTTGCGAAGTGATGGTAGGGCGGTAGCTTGCGGACAGAACGATTTCGGACAATGCAACATTCCACAGCTTCGTGGAAAGACGAGATACACTCAGGTTTCTGCAGGCCAGTTCCAAACAGTGCTTATCCGAGATGATGGCCTGGGTGCTGCTTGCGGTTCTGGCAGCAGCATTCCAGTGCCAGAAGGATGGATTCGATACGGCTAGAAAAGAGGTGCAGTGACGTCTTGTGTGAGCAGCATTTGCATAGAATTGGAGACATATAGAAATTTATCATGGAACATCATAGAAATGCAACATTGCTCATAGCTGTACCAGAGGACCCAGGAGGTGGGCCCCAAAGATTGTGGGGAGTCCAGGGTGTTAAGGGGAAGGTGGCAAGAGGCCCTTTCTGGCTGCGTACGGGATTGTCTCAAGTTGGAAACCTCTTCCATCCCACGGAACATGTCGTCACTTCCCCATTCTCCAATGGCAAAATAAGGTGCACCATTTTCAGACAACCAATGTACACATTGTTACAGGGTCCATAGCTATATGTATATCATATTCCGTTACGTCTACATTTTACCGTCGGTTGACATCCCATGTTGCCAACAAAAGTTATCAAACCCCCGGAGACCACACATCCACAATGGCCAGTTGACTCACGTGACCCCTGTTTGGTAGGTAGATAGACGATTTTTTGTTTTAACACTAAAAAAGGGATTGCTGGCAATTATGCCAAGACCTGCATTCATGATTTCAATTGGCTGTTTTGATTTGGGGAGGTACCATTCTCGTACTGCAACAAATGGCATCTCTTTTTGGAGGAGTTTTGACCCCGTAATCAACCAGGGTCTGTTCGTTCAAAGTTGACCTTGCCACTGGTTGCCAACATGATTGCTGGGTTGCAATCATCCACATCACAGGTCAGTGCTAGGCTGCTAGGCATTCTTTCTCTTTCAATTGCCCAGAAATCCCACGCAGCTTTCAGGTTACACAACGGTAAACCAGCGTGTCAATTTCAACTCCATGTTTCCAATAACAGGTAAATCTATCATCTATAGAACTAAAGTGAGGTGGCTGGTGGTCCAAAACCACCAAGAAACACACAGATCCTTAGAGATTTTGATGATTGAAACCCTAGGGAAATCGCCCATCAGCTGACCAACGCGGCAGGCCCTGAGCGGGCCGCATGGTGTACAAAGTGCAGCCTTGAACAAGGCCAATGGTCCCAGCCTGACAGATGGGCAGGGGACAAGTTAAGTTCATTGGGACTTTTCGGATGAATCAACCATCAAAACCAAGGATTTCACCAATGAATACTGGACTTAACTGACCTAAATGCGCTAAATGGGGCATATTGAGTATATTTAGTATGTATATATGTGTAATGATGGATCGAATCAACGCAATTTTCAGGGTGTAAGCCAACTATGGAAATAGAGTGGGTGAATGATTGGATATCGCCAACAACATGATATGGGTTTGCCCAAAAGATGTTTCAAACAAACAAGTTTCCCCATTTCCTACTGTGGTTGCCATTGTTTGGGTTAGCATATGTTTAGCATAAATCAATCATGGCATGGATTAGCGGGCAAGACTTTGGGAGGCCACAGGTCAGTTTGCTGAGGACAGGAGCTGTAAATTGCAAGTTAAAGCACGGGGAAGAGGAATTGACATCTTGTTTGCGCGGCAGAATTGAATGACCCCTAGGCTAGGTCCCTATTGAATCTGGGTGTCTCAACAAGGGGTACGCCCCCGAAATGGGAAGTAAAACATGGGAAAATGACAGTTGAAACAAAATTAAGATTTTGGTGCAACCTGTTTTCAGACAAACCCAGGTTCGCCGCTGCTGTAAGTCAATTGATCCGACCCGTAGCTTGAGCTGAAAGTTAGCAATTTCAAAGAAACTCCAAGATTTTCAGACAAACCTTGAGCAAGCAAGCTCAGATTCTATGCGCAACGACGCTGGATTAGAATGCAGCTTCTGCGGAGATGTCCCTACCAATCGCCAAAGGATTCGCTTGGATTTTGCATGTCAATGTGGGCACAGTCGCAATCTGTTGGCCTAAAGTCAGTATTTGTATGTATTTGTGCATATGCCCATGTGATCCAGTTTATCTATATGATTAGCTATGTCATTATGCCATCAGATGTGTTTCTATATCAATATACTATGCGTGCGCACTTGCATGTGTACATATATAGAGATGCCTACACGTGTACATGGATGGACCATGATGGGCCCATTACTAAGGGCCGATGTTCCCTCCTTTAATCATCGAAGCAGCATCAGTCAAGGGAAAAGGCACCCATCGCAGGCGTCAGACGAGATACCGATGGACTCTCACGAGCACACAGAAACCCGGTATGCGGATCTGTGTGCAGCCAAACCTGCCCAAAACGTGCCACGTACCAGTTTCGAAGCCCAATAGAAACAGCTTGTGGGGCTTAGGGATGTACCATGGCCGAAAGCTGCTGCGGAGGGTTGTGAGGTTCTGAGGCCTTCGAAAGCTGCTGCGGAGGTTTTGAAGGTTTTAAGGCTTGCCGAAAACGTGCCACGTGGCAGCTTCGAAGCCCAATAGAAACAGCTTGTGGCGCCTAGGGAGGTACCATGGCCGAAAGCTGCTGCGGAGGGTTGTGAGGTTCTGAGGCCTTCGAAAGCTGCTGCGGAGGTTGTGAAGGCTTTAAGGCCTGCCGAAAACGTGCCACGTGGCAGTTTCAAAGCCCAATAGAAACAGCTTGTGGCGCCTAGGGAGGTACCATGGCAAAGCAAGTGGGACGCCTGTGAAAGCTGCTGCGGAGGGTTGTGAGGTTCTGAGGCCTTCAAAAGCTGCTGCGGAGGTTTTGAGGGTTTTAAGGCCTGCCCAAAACGTGCCAGGTAGCAGTTTCGAAGTCAATAGAAACAGCTTGTGGGGCCTAGGGAGGTACCATGGCCGAAAGCTGCTGCGGAGGGTTGTGAGGTTCTGAGGCCTTCGAAAGCTGCTGCGGAGATTTTGAGGGTTTTAAGGCCTGCCCAAAACGTGCCACGTACCAGTTTCGAAGCCCAATAGAAACAGCTTGTGGGGCTTAGGGATGTACCATGGCCGAAAGCTGCTGCGGAGGGTTGTGAGGTTCTGAGGCCTTCGAAAGCTGCTGCGGAGGTTTTGAAGGTTTTATTTAAGGCTTGCCGAAAACGTGCCACGTGGCAGTTTCGAAGCCCAATAGGGAGGTACCATGGCAAAGTAAGTGGGACGCCTGTGAAAGTTGCTGCGGAGGGTTGTGACGAAAGCTGCTGCGGAGGTTTTGAGGGTTTTAAGGCTTGCCCAAAACGTGCCGCGTAGCAGTTTCGAAGCCCAATAGAAACAGCTTGTGGGGCCTAGGGAGGTACCATGGCCGAAAGCTGCTGCGGAGGGTTGTGAATTCTGAGGCCTTCGAAAGCTGCTGCAGAGGTTTTGAGGGTTTTAAGGCCTGCCCAAAACGTGCCACGTACCAGTTTCGAAGCCCAATAGAAACAGCTTGTGGGGCTTAGGGATGTACCATGGCCGAAAGCTGCTGCGGAGGGTTGTGAGGTTCTGAGGCCTTCGAAAGCTGCTGCGGAGGGTTGTGAGTTGCTGAGGCCTTGGAAATGCGGAGGTTTTGAAGGTTTTCAGGCCTGCCCAAAACGTGCCACGTGGCAGTTTCGAAGCCGAATAGAAACAGCTTGTGGGGCCTAGGGAGGTACCATGGCCGAAAGCTGCTGCGGAGGGTTGTGAGGTTCTGAGGCCTTCGAAAGCTGCTGCAGAGGTTTTGAAGGTTTTAAGGCCTGCCGAAAACGTGCCACGTGGCAGTTTCGAAGGCCAATCCATGGCCGAAAGCTGCTGCGGAGGGTTGTGAGGTTCTGTGGCCTTCGAAAGCTGCTGCGGAAGTTTTGAAAGTTTGAAGGCCTGCCGAAAACTTGCCACATGGCAGTTTCGAAGCCCAATAGAAACAGCTTGTGGGGCCTAGGGATGTACCATGGCAAAGCAAGTGGGACGCCTGTGAAAGCTGCTGCGGAGGGTTGTGAGGTTCTGAGGCCTTCGAAACCTGCTGCGGAGGTTTTGAGGGTTTTAAGGCCTGCCCAAAACGTGCCATGTAGCAGTTTCGAAGCCCAATAGGAACAGCTTGTGGGGCCTAGGGAGGTACCATGTTGGAAGCCCAATAGAAACAGCTTGTGGGGCCTAGGGAGGTACCATGGCCGAAAGCTGCTGTGGAGGGTTGTGAGGTTCTGAGGCCTTCGAAAGCTGCTGCGGAGGTTTTGAGGGTTTTAAGGCCTGCCCAAAACGTGCCACGTAGCAGTTTCGAAGCCCAATAGAAACAGCTTGTGGGGCCTAGGGAGGTACCATGACCGAAAGCTGCTGCGGAGGGTTGTGAGGTTCTGAGGCCTTCGAAAGCTGCTGCGGAGGGTTGTGAGTTGCTGAGGCCTTGGAAATGCTGCGGAGATTTTGAGGGTTTTAAGGCCTGCCCAAAACGTGCCACGTACCAGTTTCGAAGCCCAATAGAAACAGCTTGTGGGGCTTAGGGATGTACCATGGCCGAAAGCTGCTGCGGAGGGTTGTGAGGTTCTGAGGCCTTCGAAAGCTGCTGCGGAGGTTTTGAAGGTTTTATTTAAGGCTTGCCGAAAACGTGCCACGTGGCAGTTTCGAAGCCCAATAGGGAGGTACCATGGCAAAGTAAGTGGGACGCCTGTGAAAGTTGCTGCGGAGGGTTGTGACGAAAGCTGCTGCGGAGGTTTTGAGGGTTTTAAGGCTTGCCCAAAACGTGCCACGTAGCAGTTTCGAAGCCCAATAGAAACAGCTTGTGGGGCCTAGGGAGGTACCATGGCCGAAAGCTGCTGCGGAGGGTTGTGAATTCTGAGGCCTTCGAAAGCTGCTGCGGAGGTTTTGAGGGTTTTAAGGCCTGCCCAAAACGTGCCACGTACCAGTTTCGAAGCCCAATAGAAACAGCTTGTGGGGCTTAGGGATGTACCATGGCCGAAAGCTGCTGCGGAGGGTTGTGAGGTTCTGAGGCCTTCGAAAGCTGCTGCGGAGGGTTGTGAGTTGCTGAGGCCTTGGAAATGCGGAGGTTTTGAAGGTTTTCAGGCCTGCCCAAAACGTGCCACGTGGCAGTTTCGAAGCCGAATAGAAACAGCTTGTGGGGCCTAGGGAGGTACCATGGCCGAAAGCTGCTGCGGAGGGTTGTGAGGTTCTGAGGCCCTCGAAAGCTGCTGCAGAGGTTTTGAAGGTTTTAAGGCCTGCCGAAAACGTGCCACGTGGCAGTTTCGAAGGCCAATCCATGGCCGAAAGCTGCTGCGGAGGGTTGTGAGGTTCTGTGGCCTTCGAAAGCTGCTGCGGAAGTTTTGAAAGTTTGAAGGCCTGCCGAAAACTTGCCACATGGCAGTTTCGAAGCCCAATAGAAACAGCTTGTGGGGCCTAGGGATGTACCATGGCAAAGCAAGTGGGACGCCTGTGAAAGCTGCTGCGGAGGGTTGTGAGGTTCTGAGGCCTTCGAAACCTGCTGCGGAGGTTTTGAGGGTTTTAAGGCCTGCCCAAAACGTGCCATGTAGCAGTTTCGAAGCCCAATAGGAACAGCTTGTGGGGCCTAGGGAGGTACCATGTTGGAAGCCCAATAGAAACAGCTTGTGGGGCCTAGGGAGGTACCATGGCCGAAAGCTGCTGTGGAGGGTTGTGAGGTTCTGAGGCCTTCGAAAGCTGCTGCGGAGGTTTTGAGGGTTTTAAGGCCTGCCCAAAACGTGCCACGTAGCAGTTTCGAAGCCCAATAGAAACAGCTTGTGGGGCCTAGGGAGGTACCATGACCGAAAGCTGCTGCGGAGGGTTGTGAGGTTCTGAGGCCTTCGAAAGCTGCTGCGGAGGTTTTGAGGGTTTTAAGGCCTGCCCAAAACGTGCCACGTAGCAGTTTCGAAGCCCAATAGAAACAGCTTGTGGGGCCTAGGTACCATGGCCGAAAGCTGCTGCGGAGGGTTGTGAGGTTCTGAGGCCTTCGAAAGCTGGCCTACGGAGGTACCATGGCCGAAAGCTGCTGCTGCGGAGGGTTGTGAGGTGCTGAGGCCTTGGAAAGCTGCTGCGGAGGTTTTGACTGTTTGAAGGCCTGCCCAAAACGTGCCACGTGGCAGTTTCGAAGCCCAATAGAAACAGCTTGTGGGGCCTAGGGAGGTACCATGGCCGAAAGCTGCTGTGCAGGGTTGTGAGGTTCTGAGGCCTTCGAAAGCTGCTGCGGAGGTTTTGAAGGTTTTAAGGCCTGCCGAAAACGTGCCACGTGGCAGCTTCGAAGCCCAATAGAAACAGCTTGTGGCGCCTAGGGAGGTACCATGGCAAAGCAAGTGGGACGCCTGTGAAAGCTGCTGCGGAGGGTTGTGAGGTTCTGAGGCTTTTGAGGTTTTGAGGGTTTTAAGGCCTGCCCAAAACGTGCCACGCAGCAGTTTCGAAGCCCAATAGAAACAGCTTGTGGGGCCTAGGGAGGTACCATGGCCGAAAGCTGCTGCGGAGGGTTGTGAGGTTCTGAGGCCTTCGAAAGCTGCTGCGGAGGTTTTGAGGGTTTTAAGGCCTGCCCAAAACGTGCCACGTAGCAGTTTCGAAGCCCAATAGAAACAGGTTCTGAGGCCTTCGAAAGCTGCTGCGGAGGTTTTGAGGGTTTTAAGGCTTGCCCAAAACGTGCCACGTAGCAGTTTCGAAGCCCAATAGAAACAGCTTGTGGGGCCTACGGAGGTACCATGGCCGAAAGCTGCTGCTGCGGAGGGTTGTGAGGTGCTGAGGCCTTGGAAAGCTGCTGCGGAGGTTTTGACTGTTTGAAGGCCTGCCCAAAACGTGCCACGTGGCAGTTTCGAAGCCCAATAGAAACAGCTTGTGGGGCCTAGGGAGGTACCATGGCAAAGCAAGTGGGACGCCTTCGAAAGCTGCTGCGGAAGGTTGTGAGGTTCTGAGGCCGTCGAAAGCTGCTAGAGGAATTTGGAAAGGTTCCGAGCCTTCGAAGCCAAAGCCGGCACAGGGCCATGCCGCACACCTACGGTGATCCCCGGCGCCGCCCCGCCTAGGCCAAGGCTATAGGCAGGGGTCGGCGGATATATATATATATATATGTATGTATGTATGTATGTATGTATGTATATACACACAATACAAATAGTTTTTTGGAAAGCATGATGGTGATTCAATCAGCATAATGAGATGGATGTTTTCAAGCTTGTTGGCATGAGGATCACTGACCAGGCCCGAAACAGATGTATCAGTTTCCGCATCAGTACTTTTTTGTCGACGTGGCAGTGGTTATCCATTCGAATTGGTTTTGTTGATGTTCACAAGACGTGATCATAATCCACAAGAATATATATCATTGGGATGTTGCAATGTGTGTGTGTGTATTTTTAGATGTATTATCGCTGCCCCTGTCTTTTTGACGCCACTTCCTGTCCACACTGCCGATATGTATATGTGTATCAGCACCGGCCAGATGTTGGGTTTCATTTCTTGGTTGCCAGCGTTCTCGCTTCTTCCACTTTTTGCGGAGGCGTGGGTGTTTCCTGCACGTTGAGTTTTTGCTACATGACATTGATGTGCAGTCCAAGGATCCAAGCGGTGGCACGTGGCAATGCTGCTCGCAAGGTCCTGCAGGCGTCCTCGACTATACAGCCTTTCGACGGAGATGACTGGGAAGCACAGGGCTTCGTTCTTCGACGGACAGAGACTTTGAGTACGAGGGTCATGAGAGGGCTATCTAAAGCCAATAGACATGCATTTCATACATTGCAATTTCCAAAAGGTTCAGATGAAGGAAAAACCTTCCAGCATTGGCTAAAGTGACCCAAGTGACTAAAGACTCGAGGATTTGACAGGAAAATTCAATGCAGCTGTTGGCGATCAAGTTCAGATTGTTGGCGATGACCTGCTGGTGCTCCTGTCAGACGCGAGAGATCTTTTGAGATTGACATGTGAGCAGTGGTTCCTAAACTGCTGTTGGTTGATGATTTTAGGGGCTCATATTTCCCAAACTATTGGGGACTACAATAATCAATGAACACAGTGCATGTGATTCTGATGGATCAACTTCCACAATGTCGGGACTGGCCGTGCTAAAGAGAACGGCAGGTCACAAATCCTACAAGGGTGCGAAAAGCGCTGGACTGCAAACCTTGCAACGCGCTGTTGCTTCAGGCCTGAATAAGGGTAGCAAAGGAGTCAACATGCTGGATCTAGATGAGGATGTATCGCTGTCACTTGTTTTCACTCTTCAGGATGATTTGGATTAGTCTTTTATTTCGAATCAAAACGGGGGTAATCCGATTACCTTTCATTCCTACTTGTTCGTGCTTAGTGGTTCTGTTCTTGCTTCCTTCTTTTTTTTCTCCGCCGGTCACTATGTTTTATGTCGCTGAATCTTTCCCATCTTCGCTTTATGATGAATTCTGTTCAGATGTTTTTACGTGAGTTCCTAGACCTGCTTTCGTCGAGCCGTGGTCTTGAACCGATCTATATTTTTCATGCTCGCTCTTCAAGAAAAATGGACACACAGACTGCCTTGTATTATCAGCATGGGGAAGAAACGTGCGCTACACAGTACGGTCCAACTTGGACGCGAACCAGATTGGTTCCATCACGGGGCTGAGGGTCTGCGAGGGGTCTTGCTGATGTTGCAATCTTGACTAGTGCTGTTGGTGATCGATTTTCTCCCCAGAAGAATAGGGTATCAATCCAGTTGTAAATGGATATCTACATAGCGATATGGAATAGACCAATGTACTAATTGGGTCCAACTAGTGAATGATCACCCCAAATTCCGCCATTTTTTTGAAGGACATTGGCGCCTCATCCGAAAGCTTTGCACCCTCAGTTGTGGAGGTTGGAGGGTTTAGGGGGAATCTCAACCAAAACGGAGGTTTCGAGGCTGAGGTACCCTAGAATAGACAGAAACCTCAGATTTCCACACCCGGACACTTCTTCGGGTTGTTTGTAAATGTGAGGAAACACATGTAAATCATATGGGCATTTTGATTTAGATTGAACAGAGACCTAAGGATGGGTGAATGTGCAGATAACTTTGGAGATTTTGGCACACCCAGAGGATTTGACCCAGCTTAGGTGCGGAGCACAAACGTGTACAAACAGGACTACCCCAATTGCGCAGCCAAATCCACCCAATTTCACAGGATGATGGCAGCCCACTCCTACGGCATGTACACATGTATGCATAAATTGCATTGGTTTAGTACTCCCAATTGTTGAAACATGATTTTGGATTTGGACAAAGCTCCATGCACAATCCAATTGTGTTTGTTGAATGACTTTTTCGAATATTCCTTGCATTGCTCATCCTGAAATGTGTATGTTTTGGCACACCGAAATCTAAGACAGACTCCCCAGCCATCTTTCCAGATGCTGTAGGTCCATATCGTTCCATCCTACCGATGATGGTCCCGATTGACACCGATGGATCATGGCTTGATATTCCCAATATTTCCAAATCATTTGCTTCTCCATTTCATGGGGTTATGATGGCTTCTCCCCCGCTTTTTGTGTCGTTTTTTGCCTTGTACATCCAAACGACCATCGAAGGCACTGGACCAGAAAGCGGATGCCCAGTTGGCCCGCGAGAGGCCGACAGAGGAGGCCCATGGTGACCGGTTCAGGTAGGTCCAGGTGATTAGTAAACCCTATCTTGTATGGATCTGAATCTTTTGCAAAATTCATAGACTACTTGGCGCGTCTTCACCATGAATGTTGGAGATTGGGGTAGCATCCATTTCATGAAACTTGCTATGTGTAGCTGTCTGGCTTGGTCATTCCTATGACCTATTCATATTTGATATATCTGACCCCCGAAGAATCTAGAAAACAGACTTAGACAGGCCATGAGTATCACAATACAAGTCATACAATCTTTGATGAATCATACAGTAATCATTCGTTAATCATACAATCATTAAATCATGCGTTAAATCCATCGTTTATTGGTAAACCTTCATTCTGTGAATTGTACTAAGGTCGTGGTATAGTTCATGGATTGTAACTAACTACTATACCAGTACAGCTGACACAGTGTAGTAATTCATGGAGACAGCACTGCACATGTCGGGATCGGAATTTGCTCGGGATATTTTAGTTGGGATATTTGAGTTGGGATAATGTTTTTTTTCAAGAACACCGCATAGCTATCTGGGTAAACCCTGGTTCTTTCGTTTCTTTCTTCTGAATAAGGATCTAACATACTAACGAGGTAAACCATATTGTCCTTTGGAAGCTCTAAGATTGGCCATGACGAGTTAGAATGCTTTATTAGGCTGGCTCATTTTTGAAGTCAATGGCCAGTTTGATCTATGTATGGGACAGGATTTCAGATCCCCATGGGCATCCACGTTTTTTAGTGTTAAGCTTGATTCATTCCTTAATGTTCAGGAGATCAAGTTGGGATTTCCAAGCTTCCAAGCAACTTGGGATTTTCAACAGTTGAAGGTTGCACTCTATGGATTTTCCTGAAGTATTTTTTCAGAAAGAACTGACCGCAGCCTTCTGAAACATACGAACCCAAAGTTTGTTCGATGATCAAGATGTTGACCATCATGGGCAAACATGCTTTGGGGATGGCTGCCTCAACCTTCCATGCATCAAAAACTACTTGGCAGAGAGGGGATTCGAACACGAATCAGAATCCACGTCAAACTCAAGCTAAACAGTTCTTGACTTTCAAAAAATGGACGCTGCTCCAATCAGGATCTCGAAGACTCCTGGACCTGGAGCAGCTTCTTCAGCGTGAGATCCTTTGTGGATAAGGGAGTTTCCATGAGTTTCCTGCAACCTCATCGACATTGTGCTTGTTGTGCTTGTTGTGCTTGTTGTGCTTGTTGTGCTTGTTGTGCTTGTTGTGCTTGTTGTGCTTGTTGTGCTTGTTGTGCTTGTTGTGCTTGTTGTGCTTGTGACGGGGGATGTGGGCCACCCAGATTTTCGGTGCTAGAGGTCCTCTTCCACCCAAGCCTACATAGGTGATCAACCAATGAACTGTTCAATTCACTCCATGAAAAAGATATCTTCTGAAACGCTGTAGTTCAGAATTGGTTCAAGGAAAGTTCACTTAAAGAATCCAATGCAGTTTTTTCATCATTGTTTGCAGGAGATGGAGACGACATTGTTTTCTCATCATTGTTTGCAGGACTCAACAAAGTGCGTCTTTCATCATTGTTCACTTTTCTTCCGCTTAAAACACCCATTTTCTGCTGGTGAACTCCGCCACTCCTCTAACCCTTGCAAACGTTGAGGCTCTGACCAGCTGTATGTGCTCCTGCGGCGCAAGGCCCATCCCACTGGTTGTCCCCGTGTCCCCAAACTCTTGCAATACTCTACATCTATATCTCTATCTGTATCATGCATAAACATAAGGTGGATAGAAAATTGGTTTTGAGCTATGGGATGTGAGGTTTTCACAAGAAGTGATCAAATTTAGGGTCCTTTCCAGACCAAATTATCAAACTTGGAGGCCCAAGCTGAAGCAGTTTTTTCCTTCGAACGACCAATCATCCAAGGCTGTTTGAGTAGCCTGTCAATGCCTTTTAGGAATCCCCAGTGCCTTGGATGAGAACTCCAAAAGTTGGCGCATTTGGAAAGAGCAACATTGGACAAGCCATGTTTCGAAGGCTTCATTTGCCATCCTTATGACATGTGATAACAGGCATCTATGATTCTATCAAGATACAACACACATATATCTATATATATATATACATACTTATACATTTATACATGATGCATGTTTATACATAATATGTGTATATCACGCATTCTGCTGGTATGATCCTAAATGCTATGTTATAACACAGATATGGGGATATTCCACAGCTACTAAGCCTATGTTTTTCCAACTTCAAGGGTCCTCTCCGCGCCAGGGAAAAGCCACGCCCTGAGCGGGCCCAATGGTGTGCATAGTGCAACGCCCTGACCTGGCCCATGGCCCAAGCCTGATAGTCGAGGGAATCAACCATAAAAACCAGGGATTTCACCAATGAATGCTGGATTCAACCGACCTAAATGAGGCATGTGGGGTATATTCAGTAATAAATAGATAAATACTATATATATATACATGTATATGATGGAATGCATTCAGGAGTTCATCAAGAATGATAGATTGGACCAACACAACTGGGTGTAAGCTAACCATAATGGAAATAGAGTGGGTGTAAGCTTGGACATAATCCACAATATGATAGGGGGGTGCCCGTGGCGCCGGAGAAGGACTGTATTGGCCTCTACAAACCTGCACATATTTTACCGAAGCTGGGATGTCACAATGTCCAAAACATACTGGGGATGTGGAACTGTACTTGAAAATAGGGATCGATCCCTACAAAAACCAGCAACCTTAGAGGGAAAATGATAATTAACTTGTGGAATGAGATGCTGCGTGGCTTCATCTTAATTCTAGAAAACGAATGTGAGGGGTATGAAAGGTAGAGGTTGGTTCTCTGGTGGGCTTTGCCCGTGTGCCCGTGTGCCCGTGGATCGGGGTTGTGCCCGTGTGCCCGTGTGCCCGTGGATCGGGGTTGTGCCCGGTGCCCGTGTGCCCGGGCCAGCGACAAGTCCAGAAGTTCAGAAGTGACACGCTGGCAGGCAGTTGCAATTGCAGGCAGTCCGTCCACTGTGACTGGTTCTTATGGTAGATGTAAAGGCCCATGCCTGATCAACATCATCATTTTCTTCTTCCTTAACGTCATCATTCGCCACCTCATCTTCCGCAGAATTATGATCCTCCACTGGATGTCCCGCAACATTGTTATTCTTGTCATCCCCCTTCTCAATCAACATTCCTCCTCAACATCATCATCTTCCTCCTTCTCCATGTCATGATCTTCGACCTTTTCATCCTCCACTTCAATCATCCTCATCATCCACAAAACAAAGGCATGCAGAACAAACATTATTCCCGAGAGCGTCTGAGCGCAGGGTTCTTCCAATAGTGGGGGTCTGTAAAACATCTTCTCATCTTCACATCTTCTCTCACATCTGCTCATCTTCACATCTTCTCTCACATCTTCCCTCACATCTTCTCTCACATCTTCTCTCACATCTTCTCTCACATCTTCTCTCACATCTGCTCATCTTCACATCTTCTCTCACATCTTCTCTCACATCTGCTCATCTTCACATCTTCTCTCACATCTTCTCTCACATCTGCTCATCTTCAAATCTTCTCTCACATCTGCTCATCTTCACATCTTCTCTCACATCTTCTCTCACATCTGCTCATCTTCACATCTTCTCTCACATCTTCTCTCACATCTGCTCACATCTGCTCATCTTCACATCTTCTCTCACATCTTCTCTCACATCTGCTCATCTTCACATCTGCTCATCTTCACATCTTCTCTCACATCTGCTCATCTTCACATCTTCTCTCCTTTCTCTCTCTCGCCTTCTTTATCTTTCTCTCTTTAGGCCAAGGGTGGTGCCGGCGGGGAGTCACGAAACGTGAACCCTTTCGCACGAAATGAGGGTCGATCGGCAAAAACTGAGGTAAAATTGCGATTTTACTTGTCCTGGAGCAACCCTTTCGCACGAAATGAGGGTCGATCGGCAAAAACTGAGGTAAAAGTGCGATTTTACTTGTGCCGGAGCAACCCTTTCGCACGAAATGAGGGTCGATCGGCAAAAACTGCGGTAAAATTGCGATTTTATTTGTGCCGGAGCAACCCTTTCGCACGAAATGAGGGTCGATCGGCAAAAACTGCGGTAAAATTGCGATTTTATTTGTGCCGGAGCAACCGTTTCGCACGAAATGAGGGTCGATCGGCAAAAACTGAGGTAAAATTGCGATTTTACTTGTGCTAAAGCAACCCTTTCGCACGAAATGAGGGTCGATCGTCAAAAACTGAGGTAAAATTGCGATTTTACTTGTCCTAAAGCAGGGGGTCTGTAAAACATCTTCTCATCTTCACATCTTCTCTCACATCTGCTCATCTTCACATCTTCTCTCACATCTGCTCATCTTCACATCTTCTCTCCTTTCTCTCTCCCTTTTCTCTCTCTCGCCTTCTTTATCTTTCTCTCTTAAGGCCGAGGGTGGTGCCGGCGGCGAGTCACGAAACGTCAACCTTTTCGCACGAAATGAGGGTCGATCGTCAAAAACTGAGGAAAAATTGCGATTTTACTTGTCCCCGAGCAACCCTTTCGCACGAAATGAGGGTCGATCGTCAAAAACTGAGGAAAAATTGCGATTTTACTTGTGAGGGTCGATCGTCAAAAACTGAGGAAAAATTGCGATTTTACTTGTCCCCGAGCAACCCTTTCGCACGAAATGAGGGTCGATCGTCAAAAACTGAGGAAAAAATTGCGATTTTACTTGTCCCCGAGCAACCCTTTCGCACGAAATGAGGGTCGATCGTCAAAAACTGAGGAAAAATTGCGATTTTACTTGTGCTAAAACAACCCTTTCGC